GATACATGTTACCATGGGATACGTCTATACTCTGGAACATATTAACACTAGAAAATGCATTTCCTGCTGAAAATACGTTGGAATGCTGAAAGCTGAAATTAATTGTAAAAAAAATTGCTGAAAATTAAGAAATGGGAGACTACCCGTCTGAAAAATGTTGAAGCCCGAAAGCATTTAAACTGCACTGCTGAAAACCCTTGTAGTTGAAATGTCTCACTATGGTGTCTGTAGCTGAAAGTATGAAGAAGAAGGCTTTGAAAGTTGAAGAAGTTTAACAGGATTTGAAGATTTTCTCCACAGAGATCCCATTAAAAAAAATTGCAAATAGCTTAATATTGCAAAGACTTTAAAGATTACAAATATGAAGTGATTTCACCCCTCTCCTGAAAGAGCTGAACATTTTGATATTCGAATGGTTTCTGTGGCTTAAAAAATGTCAGCAGTAGTGATATTTGTAGTACTAGAAGTTGCAGTTGTTGTAGAAGTATTATTAGTAGTAGAAGTATTAGTAGCATTAGAATAAGTAGTAGTAGTAGCAGCAGTAGTGATATTTGTAATAGTAGTAGTAGAAGTTGTAGTTGTAGTAGAAGTATCATTAGTAGTAGAACTATTAGTATTTAGAAGTAGTAGTAGTAGTAATAGCTGTAGTAGTGGTCGTAGTATTTAATATAACAGTAGTAGTAGTAGTAGTAATAGTAGTAATAGTAATGGCAGTATTTGAAGTAGCAATAATAGCAGTAGTACTAGTACTAGTAGCAGTCGTACTAATAGCTGTAGTAATATTAGTACTGGTAGTAGCATGAATAGCAGTTGTAGTACAAGTAATAGTAGTAGTGGTAGTAATAATATCGATGGTAGCAGTAATAGCAGTAGTAATAGTAGCAACAGCAAAAGTTGAAGTCGTAGTAGTAGTAGTAGTAGTAGTAGCAGCAGCAGTAGTAGTAATACTATAAATATTAGCAGCAGTAGTAGTAATTGTCGCAGTATTAGTAAGAGCATTCATTATTTCAACAAAAAAGCCTAATTTTGAGCGTAACGTTTAAATACAGTTAATCCATAGGGCTTTTATTTTGAAAGGGTGGGGCTGGGTGGGGGAGAGAGAGGGGGAGAGGAGACAGAATCAGAAAGTATGAAACACACAAACAGAGGTTATTAAATGACAGGCTTCATCACAAGCATTCCAGTTAGAATTCACTCTGTGGGGCTTTTATTTTGAAATGGGGTGTGTGGGGGGAGGGGGGGGAGTCCTGTAAAAAGCTGTAAGACCTGAATGACTGTATGAGAGACACAGAGAGAGAGAGAGAGAGAGACATACAGAGATAGAGGGAGAGAGACATACAGAGAGAGAGAGAGAGAGAGAGAGAGAGAGAGAGAGGAGTGCATGTGTGTCTGTGAGTCTGTGTTTATCAACATCACTAATTAGCTTAATCAGAAACACCTGTGTCCTTTCAGCCTTTTCATGGAGATTAAACAGGAAAACACCTCTCAAACAAATCCTCAAAACTCCCATAACCGTAGCTCCTATTGCTCCGATATTAATAAATGAGAGGAAGGATGAGTTGAAGAACAGATCCTGTAAAAATTGTGTCTGTAGTGTAAAAAATGTGGCTGAACTGGCGATCTAGAAATGAGGTACCGTGTTCTGTGGAAGATGTTTTGAAGTAAAATTTAACATTGGTCTCTATGGAGCAGAAAGTTGGTTTTCCTCTCAATTACAGGCTTCTGTGCCAAATGTGTAAATCTGTGGGATTCCACAGTCATTTGTCTACGACAAGGACAAGATTAGCTACTTCTACGTCCACAAATGATGCATGAAGAGTGAAGATTGTGGACACAGTGGCAAAAGACAAATCTTTTTTTCGCAAGAATCTCAAGCTGCTCTTCACTCTAGCGGTGACATCACACACTCTAAACTGCGCAATACACACCCATTATAAAGTCAGAAAAGGACTGAAAAAATCATGAAAGTTAAATTGCTGCAGTTCAAAAAGTGTAAAAGATATAAAAATGCTTAATCATGTGGCAATAGATCAGGGTTTTCTCAACATTTTAAAGTTGAAATGGTGTCTGTAGCTGAAAATATGAGGAAGTTGAAGGATTTGAAAGTTGAAGTTTAAGAGGATTTGAACATTTTCTCCATTGAAATTCCATTCAAAATAAAAATTGCAAAAAGCTGAATAATTCATGGAGCATAAGTGATAGAAATATGAAAAGTCATAGCATAAATGTCATTAAAGAGCTGAACATTTTGATAGTTGAACGGTTTCTATAGCTTAAAATATGAAAGAGCAGAAGAGGTGGGACGGAAGAAATATAATAATAATAAAACGAAGAATAAAGATTAGGATTAACAGCATTCCAACAATTATCGATACATGTTACCATGGGCTACGTCTATACTCTGGAAAATATTAACATTATCGATACATGTTAACATGGACACACACAATAATTCACACCTTGACGATGCCGTTGACCAGCGGCCCGATGGACTCCTTCATGTAGCCTTTACTGCTGATCATAAACAGTGTGTACTGGAAGTATCCAGCCGGTCCGCAGTGAGTGTGAGTCCCACTCAGGACCACGTTCTCCTGACGGTACAGGTCCCCGTATTTCACCTGCAGCGCCTGTAGAACCTGCACATCATCTCCTTACATTATTTATTCTTGTTTTATTTTTTATTGGAGGCTTTTTTTGCTTTTCACATTTTGCAGAATCTTTTTAATCACCTCTACTTCTACTATGGATGTGTACTTTGTGTATTTGTGCGTGTTCACCTCCAGTCGTAGCCTCTGTGATATCATTCCTACGTCTGCGGTGACGAACACGACTCTCCGCCTCCCGTCATCGATGATGAAGGCTCGGCTGTACAGGCGAGTGTGTATGCCTGCAGCCGTCTGCTGAGGGTTCGCATAACCCATCTAAACAAACACACACACTTATACGTATACGTATATCACACACATTATTTGATTATCCGAGGACTAAACCAGACCACATGTATAGTCCCTCCATTCTGTTCTGGATCCACCATGGGACCTCTTACCAGTTGGACGTTCTCATCTCTACATGGACACCTGGGGGTCGTTATTGTCTCTACGTGGACACCTGGGGGTTGTTATTGTCTCTACGTGGACACCTGG